AAGATTAAGAGAAATTTGCTGGGTTTAGATCCGGGGTCCTTCTTCACTGAGGCTCCCCACTAAAGAACGCGTGGACATGAACTCAAACTCATGAAACAGCGTCCTAGACTGAACTTAAGAGCACACTTCTTTGTCAATAGGGTAGTGGATAACTGGAATAAGCTACCATTGGAACTGATTAGACAGCCAACCGTCCAGGCTTTTAAAAGAGCTCTGGACGCCAGATGGTTGGAGGTTTTCCCTGACATATAATGTTAGGTGTGTAAATTGTTTTTGTGAAATATGAAACGCTTCACAATAAAGGTCTCTCGCCGACGCGGCAGATAGAAGGAGAAACTGACCAATCGCAGAGGTGGACGCACACTCGCTGGCATACCACAGAAGGAATTCTGGACGCGTGATTGGCCTGTGGCCACTATCAGTCCTGTGCAATCTGACCTTACCTGACCTGACCTTGTGTCCCTTGATTTGAATTTGATTTTAAAATCGACTGGTCAGTAACCTTGATTTTGGCACGTTTTCGAATTGCGGTTCGGTGACATTACGTTAGTCCAGTAATTCACTAAAGCGATTGTTTCTTTTTTATTTACAGAATGGATAAAAGTGATAGAATCTGATAGTTGTCATATTCATTACCTTGGTTGAAATTTCTTCAATTGGAGTGGGAACTGAACTGACGTGTGTTCGAACCCCACAATCACCGCCCGACTTTCCCCATGGCAGCCCATTGATTGGCCGCTTCCCTCTTCCTGAAAATTGTATCATTGTGTATTCAATAAAATGGAATTAAAATTAAAAGTAGAAAAAGAGAATGAATTCACACAGTCCACCTAATAACTGTTGGACTCCAACATATATTAGAGATACGTCTGGGGCCCTGACAACCGATTTCGGTTTTAATGAATAATCATTTCTACATAAGTATCCGGAAATAACCATTCAGCCAATACACATGTATTGGGTACTGTACAGTACCTTGCCCCTCAAAACGCAGGAATAACACGTGCGTCATGCAAGGTATACTTTTGGGGCAAAATTTTGAGCAAATAACGTAGAGTTGCAACAAAGCGTAGCGCGTTATCTTACTGTTCACCCGAAAGGACCCTTTAAGATCAACTTGATACTCATTTACGACTCGCCGGTTTTTATTTTATAGAATATAAACGGTCCGTATAGGGACCTGTTAGAGTACTAATAATCCACTCCCATTTTATCGAAACTAAAGCTGTTCGATGTTAACCCTGATTTATGACTACTTTGTATGCAGAGATGACGTATTATGTACGTCGTAATAATCGAAAAGCCTTCCCAAATTAAATGCAAAAAAACCGTAGGAGTATAGAACTATTGCACGTGCAATAACAAATGTATATTTGTCAGGTGAATAATCAAGTTTGGGAATTTTCAGTGAATATAAACCTGCCAGAGACTGGGAGACGAGGCTGGTCATCACCAGCGTGAACATCGATCCCTGCGGTAAATAAGCCTTTTCTACTCAATAGCAGGATGTTTTGAAGGAGTTGCTGAAACACAAACCCAATAAATCACGCCGTTCCGACAGGTTGCGTACCACCGCTCTCGCTTTACATTAGATAAGAAAGCTATCAAAAAATTTTTCTGGGCTTACAGAAATGCCTTCCGTTGTGTTTACAGGTCTAAAATGGTAAATATTTTGTCTTTCAATGAGATATCGCATACCAAAACTTTGGTACTCATAAACTACTTCATAAATCGATCGCAGTTCACACGCTACCTTGGTCGTTTCTCCTCTTCCTTAATTTCTACTCTAGGCATACTAAGGGTGCCATTCTGTTACCGTTTTCTTTTCCACTTATATTTCATCCATGCCTACTTTTCAAAATTCGTTTCTCATTTAATATGTGGATGATGTTGCGGTCGGAATCACCCACCTTAGTGCATTTGTCACCTCCATCGTCCAACTTGGTCTTACTAACCTTGCTGAACTGTTCACTGCATATAACTTAACTCTCAATCCTTCTAAATGCGTGTGTTTACTGTGCTCACTTTACAGAGAAAATCGTGATGCAAACGTCCTAGAATCCTGTCCCACCGTAAACATACGCGATCATACTATTATTCAACCCCTAAATATCAGGAAAGTCGAAATTTATGCTGGTTTGGCCTATTTATTTCTGTATTTAGAAAGGTCAGAACACTATAATTTTATGCCCTACGTCTGAAAGCATTATCCGTCCCTCACTCCTTGATTAGACAATTTCTTTTTGCTTGTATTTTGCCCCTATAGCTGTACAAGTCCCCTGTATTTTCCACAGGGATGTTTAAGTAATACTGTAAATTGATTTCGGGATCCTTAACACATTTGCCAAAAAGTAGCGGGATTTCCAGTGAATTGCTCTGTCAACTCATCGTCTGACAACATAAAAGGTCGAGCTTTTTGCTATCTACAAACATCATAAACAACTGCTGACATCCGTTACACTAAGATCTCATAAATTGGGTATCCTCTTATTGCACCCGGTCGCGCCATGACCGTATATTTGCTCGTAAGATCGCCTATCAGTCGTCTCTGGTGCCTTATGTTGCCCGCTTTCTTGTTAACCCACAACGCATCGCTCCTAAACTGAAATCACTCATATGGTAAATTGTTTTATTTTCTCTTTGCTTACCACAATTCTGGTGTAATTTTGCTTGATCATTGTTGGTGGACTATTTGGCTGCTGAATATTTTTGGGGGTGATAAAGTAAAATCTTGACTTGACTTAATTTATTTATTATTCAACATTCTGATATGAATACGAAAATTAATCACCAAGCCATTCAAGAATAGAAGAAAGACAACCAAAAGAATGCGGCATGTTAAGTAGAAGATAATGGGGCACCGAATCAGGTGAACAAAAGTCAAGAAACGTACAGTGAAAATACTTGGCTCTCTCGTTTAGGAACATACAGATAAAGTGACCTAGAGAAGAAAGGGTATCCAATGGAAAGCGGTTATGTTTGTGTGTAAACTAATAAATATCATCCTGGTGGTGAGAGATAACTAAACGCTATGCAGAACTGACCGCTTCATGAATTTCAAACCAATAGAAGTGCGAGCATTTGGCCTGAAACGTTTCACAGACGGGGACTTTGTCATTTCTTTGAGGAAGGGTTTAATTCTCACCGAGCTTCAGCACTCCGGAATGGTTCGGAATTCGAGTAAAAGACTAGATATGTGTGCAAAAATGTGTGACAGTAGCACACCGTCGTATTTAAGAAGTGTAGGAATTAAGTTCTCTGGACCAAATGCCGTTGAAACCTTGAGAAAACGCATGTTTTCCCATTTAACTAGAGGTAACGGGTTCAAACGAAGATTGGATTTTCGGAGAACTCGAGTGAATATAATTAAGGCTCGCGTCAGACGAAGAATGAATACATACAACATTCAGTTGTTCAATGTCAATAGAAGAAGTGGAAATCACTTTGTTTTACCTGCAGAGTAGTTTGTTTCTCATAACATAGATTTCTACTGACAAAATATTGGAAATCGGTTCTCGTAGCTCGGGTGAACTGAATTCCATTTCGCCTGTTCGCCGAGCTTAGCAATTTGTTTGCAAACGTTTCATCACCAGCCGAGATGACATCCTCTGTGTTTGTGAAGTGGCCAAGCTCGGCAAACAGGCGAAATGGAATAGATTTCTACTTCATTTCCTCCAAAATTTGACTTGTACAAAGAAAATCCAACCATTTTATTTAGTCCTTGATCGGAAAAGCTGTTTCTTGCATTTGATCCCTCCCTAAACATTTAAACGCACGTTCCTTTTCATGAACACGTTAAGAAAAGATGTTGATATATAAACATCTAAATCGCTTTGGATATTTATTCACCGATCAAATCCTCCCCTTCAAGGTCGCTGTCGGTGTCCCGGATCCTCCAGGCCCAATCCCACAATAAAGCCATACGCTCTCTTTAAGCGGCGAAAATTATAATTAGCATACCAACCTAAATTTTCTGTGTTAAACAATGAATCAACCCAGCGAAATCCGGTTTCGCATTTGCACAGGCGGTTAAATAAGCGCAAAAGCACCATGATCTCAAATGAGCCCAACTAAAAGTGGAAATGACAAACAACATTTCTTCCGTTGCTAAGGTCGGTTAACAATGCCTCGTGCAAGCGTTCAGGTTTCAACAGCGGTTCTAGAAACTTTGCAAACCGTCAATCATCGAGATCGATCGCAAATACCATTTTGACCGAAAAACCCTACCCCCAAATGAATATTTGATAGCATATTTGTATGTACCCATAAAGTCTCCTGAGAAATGTGAATACTTTCTTAACAAATGGTTCACCTGGAATCGAAATTGCTTTGCATAATACTCGAACTAAATTTGAAGAGCTTTTAGACGTTCCAACGTCTGGATCTTCAAGAGTTTCACCATAATTCGCGCAGCCCTTCATTCTCCATTCCCGGCATCTCAACGTAAATGTTATGCTCTTGTTTATTTTAGTACATATGGTTTTGAAGATAAAGAAGCACACATCATTGACTGGAACAACCTCACAAACTGTGGATGGAGAAAACCGTTGTTCACCCCGTCGTTTTACACTTCCTATCTCCGACAATCAGGCAGATAATTATTTTGTTGCATTAAGGAAACCCAAAGAAGAAACGGATGCATCTGGAAAGACGAGTGTTCGAAAAAAAATTATTGAAGTTTTTCACTCTAAAGCATTCCACATCGCAGTTGTCACGCTTTGCTGCCTGGATGGTTTGCTTGTGGTGTGCATGCTCTTGATGGAAATTGAAGTACTAAAGCTAAAGGTGAGTCCATTGGCATGTAAATGTTAGATGGTTTTAAATAAAAACTGCAATGCGCATACATGAAGGAAGAATACGAATGTGATGTGGACATAAAAAATTAAACATAGACCAAATACACAATAGACACACAATTTTTATTCTTTCATAGCTTTTATAACCTATAGTAAATAAGTGTAGCAGATTTACCGTCAAATTGTAGAATCCGAATGGAAGCAGGGCATCCTTCTAATTGACCAAAATTCAGAGGTAGTCCAAAATAAATCGGACGTGTCCGTAATGCCTCTGCTTGTCTTAGTTAAACTTACAGTGCTTTTCAAAGAACAGTGTTCAGAGATTTGCATTCAGGCCTATACATCTCAATATATATCACTACTTGGGAGTAGTAATAATAATGATATCTATATATGTATTGGTATGAATACGAATTTCTGAAAACGAGCTTTTTCGCCGCTTAGTTGATTTTTTTGAAATGTGCTCTTTGGGACTATTTTGACAAGAGCAAGGTAAAATGCTGAGAACACCCAAACCTGATGAACGGCTCATTCGAGTTACCTAACTATGAAATAAAACAAACCGTGCTGTTGGTATTGTTGGGAAAAATGCTTTCAACTAAATCCTAACTCTGTGTGCAGGCAGTCGAGGCATATAGGTGACCAGTGCAATGTCTAGCAGATTGTGAATTCAGCCTCGAACAAGGATGTTCTAATTTATCATTTTTCGATTTTTATGATCGGATGCCGCATTTATACACTGATGTATTTTTTAATCTTTAAAATGTTAATATAATATATGCAGAATTAAAACATAAAAGAAGAGACCATATCGCAATAGTTAATGATTTATGTTCAGTTTTGTTTGCTGCATTGCGACATGGTGAACACTATTGCCGTACCAAGGTCAAATATCAATATTGCGTTTTCGGCAGTGTGCTTCATGGACATAAATCATGCGCTACTGAAATATTGTCTTTTGAAATCAACCTCAGGAAGGGCTTGCTTCTTGCTTGAAGTTTATTAAAGAATATCTAGAGGAGTATATCTAAATATTATGAAGATACACAATCTTTTGACATTTTCTGGATTATAGTGAATCCAACGAAGAATTTTTTGAACACTAGGTGATTTTCAGATTCTTTTTTGGGATGGGTAAAACATATCCCGGAGATTGCCGGGAATATGACAGTTAGGTACAAGACATTTAAAATAATTATTCGTGACAGTGAAATCCGGTTACCCACCAGAAAGCATGACAACATAATTTGCTTAAAACGTTTCCCCTTCTACCCATGACGCAGTTGCTCACGTTCTTCTGTGCTTGGCTTCCTCAGAATAGAAACGGTCTGGCATCGTTTGTTTTATTTTGCTGGATTATGCCATTGGTCTTTGATCGCCTGTCTGTGGCAATCTCTATTACTCATCCCTTGGGTTTGATGTGCCGAATGTCCCTGTCACTTACTTCAGTTAGAGGACCGTAATCACTATTTTTATCTGTAAAATGTCCTACTCCCTAAAGATAATTTAAGAAGGTTTCCCGGACTCAGTTTCGTGTCCATTCTTTCTTTCTAGGTAAATGAAAATCTTCCCATCCCTCCCGGTCTTACTGCGCGCAAGCAACATGATTACATAGTAACTGGATGTCCCTCAATTGATCTTGACTGTTTCCGCCTACTCCACGACTGCGGAAATCAAACTTTGAGATATTATGAGTCCCGATCTCTGATTCAGATTATTGTGCTGAATTTGTTTTTAATCTTAAAATGGCTTCCAGCATCAGACCATTTTTAGTAAACTGTCTAAGATTTGTGTTTATTATGAAATTATTCCCTAGATTGGCTGAGTAAAATACCGCGATGTTTTATTATCATAAAACCTTTCTTACTCCAGATATATCTACAGTGGGGTTCAAGGACAGTCCTCCTGCGCTTTTAAAATTAAAACCTTGTCGTTCCCCTAAATGCAATGGCAAACTTTGTGACAGCCTGGGTCCTTCAACTTTGATTGTACTACCTTCTAGTGGTTCTCCTTGTTCTTCAGGAAGAAGACGTTATCCCCATTTCCAGATCTCTAAGACTCCTTTTTCATTGAATTGATATTCGCAAAAATTTGATCAGCGGCCTCAGATCTGTGGAACAATAAACCTAATAGACAAGAGAAACTGACAAATTATGGATATGCATTACGTAATTTATTGAGCGAATCATTGTGACAAAAACGGCATATTTAAGCTATTGGTTGATCAATAGACTGGAGCACTTGATGGTAATTAGGCTGAGAAATTAAAAGTCCAATTTTGTCATCAATTTTCAAGCCTCGTTTTCTTTGTATTACGTGCACTTTTCTCGTTTCGTTTGTATCAGACTGATGTTTACATTAGCACACTTCAATCAAATGTGATCAGGTACAGTTAGGGGAAAATCAATTTTCGTTATCCGGGGTTTATGCTTTCAGTTGGAAGTCCTGCACTGGCCTTTATGCTACAGACTAGTTTATCACTTGAATAATTTTGTTTCATTTGATTTCATTCATTGTTTGTCGATTTCACGTACTGTTTCTCTGTCCCCCTCGAGTATCTCCCACCTTTCTTTTGTCACTATTCTATTCCTAATTCCCCACAAGGATAGCCCGGAACACTTCGAAGTCGATTGCAAATTGCTCAATTCAGTCTGGAGTGTGTCAGTGTCAGCATTGTATCACTCTTTCTGATTGAAATTTTATGCAAATGTTGGTTATTCGGATTGCGATTCTATCGTCAACACTGGTTGGAGATCGTGGATGCAGTTGTGTGCGTGGTCAGCTTCGGAGTGGACATTTACAATATTGTTCGTCACACACAACATCATCAAGCGCAACATGCTCCCGCGAACATCCACGCAAATATGACGCCTGAAGGTCATAACAGCACCGCGAAACTGTTGGACACGGAAGAAAGTGAATCTATGACAGTGCAAAATACGCTGGCAGACGCAGCTGGTCTTTTGGTCCTCTTTCGTCTTTGGCGAGTTGTGCGAATTGTAAATGGTGAGTTAATTCCGCTCTGAGTTTGCCAATCACTGAATAAAGTTTTGGTAAGAAACGTTTCCAGGATTACGTCGAAAAGCATTGGAACGGCTTTTTACAGCGAGAGTAGAAAATAAAAGCAAATATCTAAATTTGTAGTCTTTACAACCGTTAACTTGTAAATTTTGTGGGGTGGTTCTGGTTGCTGTTTTCAGCTGTTCATTTGAATGAAAGAATAGAGAGAAGAATATTGAAAACAGTATAAAAGAAAAAAAGAGAATTCAGGTAAACTCAGACTGCGAATAATTGCGGCTGAAGCATGATCACCGCTCTTTCTAATACTCAGGCATACCATTTTTAGTGTCTGACCCGCTCAAGGTTTTATACACCAATATCAGGCCTTAGTTTGACGATCCTTGGTTTTCTCCACCCATTACTTTCCTCGAGATAAAAAGAAAGCCCTGGTGATTTATTCCATGACATGCGTAACACGTGACCTAGCCAGCGTAATCTGTGGAAATCGGGCAGTTGCTCCCGTGGGCTACCGCAATTACCTAAAACCGTGCTCCCAACCTGAGTATCGCTTGGCCCGTTGCCCCACCAAGCCTGTGCAATGCAGTATAGACAGAGTTTTGGAGAGCAATAGTCTATGTTTATTTTGTTCCTGTAATGCTCAGTCTCTGCTTCACAAGGCGAATGGACCAAATTACTGCATCGTACAGTCAGACTTTCACAGAAGCCGTATGTTCTGATGGCATCGTAAATGTCTCAGGTTGGTGAATACCAGCCTACCCTTCTGTATGCCTATTGGCATTTTGTCCGAGAGATAATAAAATTGAATTAGTTTCTGTATGGTTTCCCAATTATATGCAGGTTAGAAGCCGAACTAAATCAGTCCTATGTCAATATTTCACAACTTCAATGTACGCAATGCATGTTCTACATGTCTATACCGTCGCCGTATGATATGAAACCAGCCGATTCTGGCTACTTCATTTGAGAGCTACGCCCTCTTTTTGAATCTCAGAATGGTTCTTAGGCACCAGTGAGCAAAGACGTCTGATTTTCAACAGTCTTCAACTCTCGGTGGTCTTAACCTTATAGCAAGGAAGGATCCTGTTCTGCCAAGAAAACTCTTATTTTTCCTAAGGCTGATTTTGTTTCAACGTCATAAAGAAGTCCTTGGTTATACAAACCCCTTTCTGTCAGCTTTGTCGCGCAGTTACAGCTCATCTTTATCGTTGCCGTTAGGTAAGGTGACCACACCCGGGCATTTAATGCTTCTGATATACTCGGTCATCTGGCCGCCTAGTTGAAATGTATCTGTGCGGCGAAGTTGGAGTAGGAGATTGGATATATTGTCACCAAAAACAACGATGTCATCAGTGGAGAGACTGAATTTCTGGTCTCCTTGGTATACTTAGAGGGAATGACTCGTCATCCAGTAAACGGCAAAGTTGAACAGCATTTGAGATGATAGGCAGCTCTGTCGTTCTCTAGATCTTAAATCGATCCCAAGTGAAGAGGAAGAGGATTCGGGCCCTAGTTTTAGAGTAATAGGATCTAACGAGACTATCAAGTTTAACCGGGACACCATCGGTCAGTACTATGTTGCAGAGGGATTTGCGACCTACGAAATCTAATACCACACGAAAATCTATGAATCAGACTACTGTGAGCTTTTGAAACTTATGGTGCTGCTTTAAGAGGCGAAGTTAAATGAAGACGGGATCAAGGTATCCCCTATTGGAGCGGAATCTCTTCGTTGATTTCGTGTTTCTTGTTTCTGCAAAGCGATTTAGCAAAATTCTTTTAGCTTTTTCTCTGTCTGATGCTAACTGTATGAGTTGCAAGATGCTCCCCATGTTGAATAGGTTGGCTGTTGTTTCCATCTTTCTCACTATTTTATTCCAGTAACAGAGTTTATTGCTTTTGCAGATTTTGTTGCTTCTAGTCTGAGGTTGCGATAAGCAGCGGTTTGGGCTGGACATGCTTCTCCGATCGCATTAGCTAAACGAGAGATGCGGCTGGATATTCAGTCCTTCAGATTCAGTGATTAATTCGTGTACACAATCTCGTTGTATCGTAGCATTCAGCATGACTACTGCATTTTAACCAAACGCTCTGCTCTTCCTTCGTACCTAACACACAATTCGACAAGTATATAGTTATCATGTTCGTCGGTACCTGGTGTTTCTTGCTGTTCTCCAATGGAAACACATTTACGCGGTTTACGGGACCGTTTTTTTCGATTTGTCAAATGGTATATAAATTTCGCACAAACGAGAACATGGTCAGATCTACCATTGTTCCCGGATTGAGGTCCGCAATAGGATCGTCAGTCACTGACTGGTGAAATCCAGCGCGAAAGGATGAGAAGGAAATCTAGCTGGTGTGCTGTTAGGACATTGTTCTAACACCACGTCAGTACATCCTTTGAGGGATGCTAAAAACACGGTAGGTGATAAACAGTCGATCGAAATCGGATAGACTAAACAGTCTGTCAGCATTCCCTCAACGCTGAACCAGGTTGAACCTCAAAACGATGTGCTTTGTGGCCTCTTCTTTTGGGCCATTTTGAGCGTTCCAGTCTCCATCTATGATACGTGGCTTTTGGCTACAGAAAGCAATCGGAGGTTGATTTAAAACTCTTTCTCGGCGTCGTTGTCATAGTGGAGAGTTGAGGATTAGGCTGCGATTACCGGATTCTACTTGAGTTGCATTTGTGCATTCCTAGAAGATACTGGATTCCAGGGAACTAAAGCATTATTGTTTGTCCAGACGTTTCATACTAGCAGTTAGCGAGAAAAACATTTTGTGTTCAGTTGAAAGTTACTCATTGCATGTGTCTTTAGTGCCTGACTACTGGTATCTAAGTGTTCTACCGTTCAAGCAATCCTCCAATTTATGATCTTCGTGATTTAAGGTGTTTCGTGGGTAATTTTGTCTCCCTGGCCACAGGAGGGTTGCAGGCATAGATTGATTAGCGAGACTAATAAAGTGATCAGCCATGGAAGTTCTTGGTAGTTTGATGCAGGAAACATCTCAGATACTACTCTATCTTAGATCAAGGAGGCACCTATCTTTCCGCACACACGGCCAACTGCAGAGCAACAGGAAGGTAGTAGATGGCTGCCAGTGGCCATCTGCGGCTCATTAATCACTGGCGCTTTCTAACTGCACAGGGTTTCATGCAAACTTAGTGAATGCAGGATAGTTACGTTGGTCATTGGAGTGTGTGAGAGATTTCGTCCACCCAATACGCTGGTACGTTAGATAATGACTCTACGGGAGTTTATGTCCAGGTTACGCGGTTTGCCGAGATGTGATCACTGTTGTTTTCTGACATGTTCTCGGAGCAACAGGATAGAGCTGAGTGACCGATAGAGGCAAAAATAGGGGGTACCCCATGGGAACTGAAATGTCTCTGAGTAAGTGGCTATTGCTAAGCTCCCCATGCACCCTCTATATTTTCACCTTGCACTGGAATGTCGTAGGCACACTTTAGATCAGATAACTCGCCATGATGTTTTGGCCAGTGGAGAAAGCAGTCTTAAATTCCTCCTCGAAAGCGGCATCTGACGAAAACGTAATTGATTTGAGTACATCGAGGAGAAAAACTAGGGTGTTCGCATACAAACTGTTTTCGTTTCCTGTGGGTGAAGTTGGTGCTCGATACAAGCTATCCGTGGTCAATGCAGAGTTATAGTAGGCGATAGCTCCAAAGGGATCAATCAACGGACATCGCAGTGGTTGCTCTCGATCTCAGGGCTGGGATCCCCGGTTCGAATCGGAAAGACCTGTAGGCGGTTCAACCCCAGCCTAACGGACAGAGAACGGAGTCATCATCATCATCATTGTACAGCTCAGTGCAATGATAATGATGATGATGAGCTTCGTTGTCCGCCCCTTTGTCTGGGATTGTACACAAATCGCCTACAGGTTTTTCTGATTCGACCGGGACCCCCATTGAGGCGTTATGGTTGAGAGCGACTACTATGGTATCCGTTGAGAGAACAGTTTGGAGCTGTTGACGGAGATCAATGAGGAAAGCGTCCTCATTTCTGGCGTACCACACTTAGTTGGCGCGCAGTAACGAGATAAACTGACTGTAACAATTTATTCTATCGCTGGTGATCCGTACCGATACATCAAGACATACTTCACACTGTCTATTACTCACAGGAATCCAGTGAACTAGCCCTCGGCCTTGATGCGGTCGATACCGCAATGTTCAGGCATTACATCACTTGAGTGAAGTGAAATTGATGCTTGAGGATGTGTTTGGGTTTAAAGAATGCTGTATTTTGTTTGAAGCAGCGTTTTCTAGGCGTGTTTCGGAGACAGCGTACGTCTAAATAGAGCGTTTCGTGGATCTGAGCTGAGGCGGTTTGTTTGTGTATCTGGTGTACTATGCGGCCAAGTGAACAGAAAAGTTTCGTTTCATAAATGCATTAGTATTTGATTGGTTTTGGTTATATATTCCGTTGAGCTAGAAGAGCAGACTGCTACTTACGAGGTTGTGCTGGTACTTGTGTGCATGGGTTGCCGTCTAGAATGTAAACGTAAATAGAAGATACAGCAACGAATATAACTGGAACAACTTTGATAAGTCAGTTCCCGTGGAGTGCTCCTCAATAAGCCTTGGTTTGTGAATAGTTTGGTGAACGGTCAGTCGAATCTTTTCGATAAATTCTTCTACTACGCATCATCAATAACGCATCCTATCAACCGGTTATTTTTGTTCTCGACCGGAGGAAAGTGTTTAAACCTACGTGGTAATCACTGTTCTACATGCTTCTTCTGTCTGAAGAGAGACATGCAAAAACACATTATACCATTATCATTTTGCATGACTTCGGTCTAGTCAAAACATTTTACGGGTTATATATCATCCACATGTTGATTGCGAATCATAGTGATTTTAGAAAAATTGTGAATAAGTGTATTACAGCATGTTCTGCGTGACATGTAGTTCGATCGTCATGAAGTTATTACGATGATACTAGACGTTTTGGCACAATACACCTATCCCGGTTACTTTTGGCGCCTTTAAAGATTTCTGTCTCAGTCATGTGATATCAATGGAGTGACGCATAAAACGAACAGCATACAATTTATGCATTCACAACTGAAAAGTGTAATGTTTCCTTCCCTCTGCGAATTTCGAGTGAGAGAATTCCCCCTTGAGAGGTTGTCTCCAACCCCCTCTCCCCCAATTTCTTGCAAGCTTGCGCACTGCTCATGTTGCATTTGATTATTTCCAAGCGATTGAAAATTGATTCAGGCTCTCAAATTCCTTCCATCTTGAGTGACATGAATTAGGATATATTGATTGACTGTGAACATTTTGACACCTTAGACAATTTTTTGCAGAATTTTGTGTAAATAAAACCATCAATTCATGATGAACTTGTGTGATGTGTGCCAAATGGTTGTATCCCCTTTTAAAGTCAAAATTTAACAAGTTCGTGTCACCACTTGTTGAATAAGCTGGCATAGTTCTAAAGAAATAAACCTGCTTGATAGCTTGGTAAAATCGTTCACCAGCTGCGGTGGTTGAGTGGTTAAGGTCATCAGAATATCCACTTGGTTGTACCGAGTTCGAACCTCGTCACCGTTGCCCATCTTCCTGGGTTCCTGTTTCCCCAGGCAGCCTTTGCATAGTTGCGGCCCCCTTCCCGAAACGTGATTCTACATTTGTATGCTCAACAAACAAAAAAGTAAAAATATTTAAACAATACTATTTATTATTCATCTCAGATCATCTGGTCATATTATCAGTGTATTCCAGATAATCAGAAGGTATTGGTTTCATGTTTTGCATCTGAAGTCACATTTTGTCCTCGTCAGTATAATATAACGTTTTATTTGGAACGTATTTCTCCTCACTGCATTCATGGACCCCTGTTTTTTTCCCGGGGTCTATTCGATAATTACCTTGAACGGATTCTATTCTGTAGCTGACCCTATTCCTTGTATGATAGGCTGATGCAGAACGCTAAAGTTTGTGATGTTCCTTTCCCGTTCAGTTATCTGACTATTCACATCATCAGCAACGTTAAGCTTGCTGAGTTGCTTACTTCTTTATCTATGTTCGAAATATTTAGCTATTAGAGTCAAGTTTCTTATGATAGTTCAAACTTAACTGTGAGACTTGCTCAAGCGACCCCATCGAATCTGAAATACACATCTCACATACACTAATAGTTCTTGATTATCCCTAAGTGAGTTTGTCTTGAGCTAATAAAGAAAACAGCATCTGTAGATCCACGGGAAACAAATCTTTGGTAAAACGTTCCACAGAAATTACTTTTACATTTTGAATATACCAGCTCGTGGTCCAATGTAAATTAATTCGATCACTGTTTTCCACAGAAAACAGTCCATCGTAAAACTAGTAGTGAATAATATGAACCGTATATAACTGACAATGTTTACCATCATCCATATTTACCATGTTTGGTTTGAGTTGCTTTGTTCAATTTCACCGAAACAGGACATCGCATGTTGTATTGCAGTTTTACGTGCTTTAAAGATTAAGCACGTCACATTCTGAAGGCTATCCATTGTTTGGGTGTTTCGCTTCAGCCTGCTGAAACATGATGCGCAGTCACATTTATAAGCAGGGCTTGGTTCCGTGTGAGCACTTTGGTAAACTGCGATCGATCATTTTGTCCCAAAGTTTTTCTTCGGAAACCTCCACCCCGAATCGGATATAAATCGTTAACGTTGTGCAACTGCTCTGTATACGCACAACCTGTGGACGTTTTTCACCTATAAAAAAATCCATGATTCCACCGGGTCCTTTGACTTTCCCTAACGCATCTAGTAAATGGATGCTGCTGCAGATGGCCTTAGTTCACTGTTCAGGAATGTGATGGTTATAAGTAGCACATTTGCAGGTCACCGGTTTTTAAACGGTGCTGCAGTGCAAACTTTGAAAGGAAGAACCAGCAAAGCGATTATGTAACAAAAATGTGTTATTCATCCATATATTTTTATTACTGAAACCTTTTACGTAACCAATCAGATATTTGTTTGTGGATTTTGAAGTTCACCGCAGTAGGCTGTGCTTGAAAACAATAACAGAATGGACAACCTGTTAGTGATGTGATGTGTAAACTCTGACCAATAGATTTGACCGTGTCAACTGTTCGTGGTTGTCTGCTTCCAGTCCTCCCGATCTGTCTTACTAATGTTGATAGATATTGGTTACCAAGGTTGATTACCACGAACAACTTTAGTCAAATAGTCTGTTTATTTAAAGGCTATAGCTTTACTTGGTGCACACTTCTCTCGTTTTCTTTTAATTATTTCTTGTCTTTTACTGATCTATGGAGATGTCATATAAAGGCAATCAAAATCGGAGAGACGCGTTACTATTTCTTCAAATTAAACTGAACTCGGTGAATGGAATATGAATGTCTTAGAATCCAGTGCCGGCTTTAATCCGCCAATTTTCCACAAGAGGTAACTACGTGCAAGATGGCTTTATTACTTTACTTTCTATTAAAATCAGTACAGAGTTCACTTACACAGTATGATGAGCAAAAAGTAAATTATTTAACGGAGCAATTGCAATTAGGTATTGCAAGACACTCTTCCGAGATTCTTCATTGCAGTCGGGTCTGTTTGCATTTTAAGTAATAGCAACACTTAAAATCACATTGAAGCTGTTCTCTTCGCTTAAGACGAAGCAAATTTGGTTAACATTCGTCGTTTCACCGTTCAAAAAGCATGGGTAAATCACTACATAGTCACACTGTTACCACCTAATCGTTGGATGCATATGATCATATTCGTGGTCTCTAGTAGCGCTCAAGAGTGAACGGGTAATCATTTCTTTTCCTTAATGAAAGATCCAGGATGTACGCCTAACAAAAGGTTACTCCGTTATAGAAATTCATTGAAGTAAAAATTATCGTGCAGGNCCGTTAGGAATACTTTGTCCTATCGACAGCACTTGGCTCTTCTTAGAATGACCTTAAGCCTTCGACATTAAAGACTGAATGTTATTTTGTATGCCACATTACACTACGCTAGCTAGTTTTTTTCATTGATAAATTCAGAAAAGAACTTAATCAATATCCAGGAGGAAAATTGACCTAAAGTGGTCGTAGCTCTTTAATTGCAGATAATGAGCCTGAGTTAAGATTTTCAAGGATGAAAAACANTATCATGAACCATTGTAAAAGTAGACTATACTCTACATGATGTGATCTACTCGTTTAGTAAGCTTTATTAGTTTAGAGTCTTAAACGTGCCCTGGTAATGCAGAAACTACCATCTTTTTTTCGTCGAGGTTCTACCGCCCTTTCGAGATGCCACATCGGACAGCGTGTTTTTGTGGGTTGTAGGAATGAGAAAATGCGTTTCACATGCATATTTTATTCTGTAGAACATGTAAACATGCTTGTTTGATTATCACTAATGTTTCTTTCACATACACACGCATACAACATCTTGCGTTGATGATGCATTGGAAAATACAAATGAACTCTCCATCCGCACAGCATCCTTGGTAAAACTAAAAGGTTTAAGACGAGGCTGAAGTAGCTAGAAATTTTCAAAGTTCTTGCGCAGTATGTGATTCTAATGGTTAATTATCATACTTGATTACCGCCGCATTCACTTTTCCATATTTTATTATAAGTCGATGATTCCGTGAATACATTGCAATACGACTATTGATTTTACCATTACTGTGCATTGTTTCAGGTGGAACGTTGTACTTGAAAGTTATGATCAACGACACTTCTTGTACGATTGATCAGGTAGTTGGATGAGGTGATCAAGGATGCAGTTTACTGAAAGCAGAGTCCAAGGAAAGGTCTGAGGATTCAGTACACGTGTGTTAGGTTGGTCGAAAAGTCTTTTAAGAACGCTACTAAACACAGCATCTGAAGTCATGCAATTATGGAGCAGTCCAAATCTTTATCTTGGTACCCCCAGAAGTAAACTTATATTTCACACTTCATTTGGGTCTAATGAAGCAGCAAAACATCGGTAGACGAATTCACCGCATTTCATCATGGGAACTTTTCGCTTCAAGTGTATTTCACAGACGACATTTGTCTTTTCACAGTTAATGCCTCAGGGGAAATGTTTCGCCTTTGCTTTCAGAATGTGTCAACAGTTTTTATCCATCACATCAAATATACATCAAACCTGGAGGCAGTTTATTCGCAGAATTGAAATAAATAAGAAAAACGCCGAAAACGCGAAGAAACGTCTTTTCCATAAATAGCTTCAGGCATTCACATATATACATATCTCGACTAGCCAAAAGATTATTACAAGTCCCAATCTAGTGTTGAATGAATGCGTGTGCAACATGTTCGGATCAAGGTAAGTGAATAGGGAATAGCGGGGTAAAAGTTTGTGATACGTTGTAATCAAGAATAAATTAAAACGGATGTGGTGTTGGGAGAAAAAACGACAGTTACTGCAGAAGGGGGAGTGGGTAGAAAAGGCTTCATACTGGACAACCACTTTCATGGTCATAGCAGCAGCAATGATCTATGAATGTAAATGACTGAAGTGATATATGTAAAAGGAATTCCTTCGCCCTTCCACTTTGTTGTTATGCATCAATGAGAATATTTCACAATTTGAAATAAATACCGAACAATGTTTATTAATTTTTTTCAATTTTTTGTTATTTAAATGTGTCGATCGGTGTGAGTGTTTGAAAAACTGCGAGAATGAGTAAACATTTATTTGTTGAATATATTATTTATTCGGTTAAAAACAAAGCAGATGTGTTCACACGGACCGGTCAGAATTAATTATTTCAAACACCTGCTGAACGTGTAATTCTGTTGATTGGAGTTGAAGATAATTGACACCCACTTGCAAGAGAGCTTGAAAAAATCATTATCTCTTCGCTCCTTATATATCTTCATTCCACATCCCGATTTGTTTCTCGAAAAAAATAATAATAAATCGTGTTCGTTGAACCAGTTTTTGGTCATTATTAATGAGATTTGCATCAGTTTGAATGATTCAAATAAAGAAATATATCTCGATAATCCGGTTGTCCGATGGAATGTGTGTTCAAAACTACCACTATTTCAGATTAGTTGCTCATACGACACAACCACGTTATTGCAAAACATCACACAATGTTTAAAAAATGAGTATTATCTATAAATTTACTTTTGAGCAATGAAGTAGAATGACAGAGACCCACCAAAAGCGAACGTTTGTAACAGAAACTAATGTTTCACTTAACGAAATATTTCAAAACAAATTTGAATCTTTATTACTTTGGGCACATGTGGTGAAAATGAAATGCTGAATTAATTATTCTGCACATAAACAACAGTGATTTGCGATAAAAACTGGATACTGGTTGTTATTTTGGTTTGTTCCGTTTTCCCCCAAAGATTAATTAGGAAAGAGAGTTGCGAAGGTAGGTCGGTGATCTATATGATTTGATGTTCACCGCCCAATGAGATAAATTACACTGTACAGATAGAAAGACAATCCTGACATTTTGTCAAAAACCTCCCAAAAGTAGCGACACATAAACTGTAGAAAATGAAGAAACCAGTCAAATCATTGCATCAATTGCAACGACGATCCACTCTAGATTACAAAGTAAAGACAAAGTCAAAATCAAAGTTGTAGCGCTATTAACAAGCTCATGCTTCTTTTGTCCCAACAGGATATTTATACGGTTTAATCATTTCGCGACAAAACCGTATAATGTCCCATATTGTTCCGGGTTTGAATATAATCCATAAAGTAGAATGTAACTGTTTTACTGCTCGTAGTGTAAGAATTTGAGCTGAGCCAGGGTACCTTCAAGTATCCCTTCGATGGATTCAGCTGTTGGTGGACAAATGACGTCAACTGAGAGAGCGTCCCAATTGATGCATACTCGGTCATTGAAAGATTGCCGCTTGCACTCCAGTCGATAATTGAGAAGCAATAATTTGTAATTATATCTGCCGAAGTGAATGTTAGGCTAGATCGGGTTCAGCGGACAATATGGATAGCTAAGGTTCTGTGCTATTCGCTAGATCAAAGGTCAGTCTCCCCGAATTCAATGGTACTGGTTAAAGTGTTATCTCAATGATTTTAATCTCTGCCTTGAGTTAAGTGAGTGCAGTTTCTTGACTGTCTTGGTGACTATCATTTGTGGACACTCCAGCATGTTGCAAGCCCGTTGTAATCAAGACCCTCAGACCTGGATGGCTTGTCCTATGTACGGTGGCCAACGTGAGGTGCGCTCTTAAGCTAGCCGATATTCGCCACAGCAGCAGGCGATGTCCCTGTGCGATTGGCCGGGCAGTTTAAATTCTCTTGAGCAATGATACATAGGCCCTCCTCGCTTGAGGTATGAGGCAGTTTTTGAGTTCCGAGTAAATGCGGATATCTACCCTTGTGGCGAAGGGACAGGACTTTGTATCTGGGACCACTGAATTCACTGTAGTTATCTATAAACCATTGGTTAACTGCGTGAAGTATTTCTTGAAATGTTCGCAAGCCCTTGCGTTGTGCTACAATACTGCAAATTTGGCTTCGTCTAAAAACAGTATTTTTTGGCCCTGGAGTATTCGATACAGATACTATTCCAACTTGCACCTCTTCATGTAAAGGAGTGACAGAGTCCGAAAAGTCACGTTTCAAAACTCCATTACAACATTTAAGCCTTTTGCCAACTTCTTCATTGATCATTTCTAGCAAATGTGCCACGAATAAGAGCAGTAAAGCGGCTGGTGAACTAAAAAGCAATCACCATCATGTAAGCATTCCGATTTTTCTATGCATGAATTAATAGGGTTAAAATTAGGACAGATGGGGTACCCGAAAACACTGCTTTTTCATATAAATATGAATGAATTGANGACAACTTTCACCGAACAGGTCAAGTAGATGACGAGCAGTGCCACGGACTTCATAGTAATTAACTCTAGAGGCTCACCATTCGGAGGTAAAATGGTTAGCTGGCAAAAGAATAAATGAGATGATTATTTAAGAGTTTCCTCCACTTTGAAAGACATTTAAAAACTAGCGTGAGTTCCAAAAAATCGATCGACATCAACAGTATCATACGCTTTGATTCAGATACCATAAACGCCAAAAGATATCAAACTAATGTAAACAAAGGGTGGTAAGTTGCACACAATGATAAATATTACTGTTAATTCAAATGACCGTAGAATTGATAATTTCGACGTTTCACTCTTCTCGTTTATAGGCGCTCACGAGGCTAAATAAAACAATCACGTTACTTCCCCAATATCAAGAACGAATTCTTACACTATCGTCCAAAAATTGTTTCACTTATTGTCTGATTGTGTCTTCAAAAGCCACGTGAATAGAAGCTGGTCACTTCACAACAGCTTGTACTCTTGATTTGTTTCTTTATATTTGTCACGTGAACACAGATGGGGGACAGGTGGGGAATAAGGTAGCTTTTCACCCCGATTAAGGATGAGCTCAGTGAACTAAACATGGGTTGTAACGCACGGAATGAACGCTTTGTTCTGGATGCAGACAATTGGCGTGTACGTGAACTCCTTTGTCTCGTGGAGATATGTTCCACGGGACTTGAAAGCAGTGAGTTATGGGCAAATTTTGTTGAAAAAGATCTGACATAAATAACAACCATTCAACTAAAGTGAAACCGCAGAAGTGATTTGAATTCTTATTTCAATAGCTCCAAAAGAACGGATTGGACTTTCATGCGAGTTAACAAAAGATAGGTAGAACCCAACTCTAATTGTGTTAAAAATGTGCAAAATATAATAAGATTACAAGTAGATTCGTTTTTTTTAAATAATAATTCATGTGTGACCTTGAACAGATATCACTCGA